CATTCTAGTCAAACTTCTAGTACTACACAATGTTTGTTTTGATTCGCTATGAAAGTTTGACAGATAAAATGAGGGGTTATTCGATTTTCCTATGTTTCGAGGGGTGAATCGTTTAGCTTGGGACCGAAGATAGTACCAGAGCTGAGCCAAAAAGTTGAGCACATTTCTTCGGGACCTACTAGTCTTAGAGTTACCTCTATGGTTTCACTGTTACATAAGACATTGACTATGTTCATCAAGACAAACGTCTGAAGTATCAGAAAAACCAAAACAATGCAGATCTGTTTCTTCGGTCCTTTATGTTTATACGAGTAAAACGTCTAAAATGTTCAAACAAACCAAAACAATGTGATTGTGCACATCGGAATTTTCATGTCCAGCACTTTTTTACAATTTCCGTGTGGGGGGGGGGGGGGGGTTACAATTATCCACGGCCCATACAAATTTTAAAATTTTAATATGGACAATTGTCTACGCATTGGGAAGGGGGGGGGGGTCAAGAATACCGAAAAGCTGTCTACGTAGTTAATGAACAGCCCCTAAAATAACACTGTTATCAAATAAAAAGCAGCCACGCGACTACCAACGATCGACCAAAACAATCTGTGGGCAGTGTTGCGATACACCGTTAAAAAAAAGTTGATGCATTGTCCAATACTCATATTGTTCGTTTAACTCGTATAACTTAAATTATGCACTTATAATGCTTTAAAAAAAACAAATAATGTTGAAAACATAAATGACTTATGTAACTGTGATTATAACAAAACGTCCTATATAACATGTCCAATGTACACCTGACAAAAGCAAAATGTCCTATGTAACATTTTTCACGTTTTCATACAAAAAAAAAAAATGCATGAAACGGGTAGATTATACTTTCAATTTTAATTTTACTATCGCATTTTACTATCGCATTTTACTATTAAAGGTCTTAAAAATGTCAAAAGTTGATTTGATTTAAAATAGTATCAAAAAAGATTTTGTCAATCTTCAACCTCGTTTTTCTCGAAAAGAGTGAAATTTTAGATAGGACCTTTTGAAAAGTTAGGCGAGAAATGTTAGATAGGACCTTTTGAAAAGTTAGGCGAGAATTTATGACAAACTGTTGTTTCCAGCTATTTTATTCAATGGGACACCGTTGCGTGTCGCGTCTACCCTGGCCGCGTCCTAAGACCAGAAGGTCCCGAAGAAAGGAGCTCAACTTTTTGGCTCAGCTCTGGTACTATCTTCGGTCCCAAGCTAATCGATTCACCCCTCAAAACATAGGAAAATCCACTAACCCCTCATTTTATCTGTGAAACTTTCATAGCGAATCAAAACAAACATAGTGTAGTACTGGAATTTATACTATAATGGGGTACGTTAGTCGATTTGCTTGGGACCAAAAGGCTAGTCAAGTAGTGAGCCAATTTAAAATCGTTAGTTTCGTATTGATTGTTGGTCATACCGTGGGTCTTTTTTCTATGCATCTTTGGGTGTTAGTGATCATGAATATCGACTATTGGACATTATTTACATTAGAAAATTCGAAAAATAAATATGTTGGACTCTCCGAAAAAGCTTCTTTTTTATGCCAGTCTCATTTTAATTTGTTTGGCGAGTATTTTATCGATACAAAGTCACTTTTTTTTTTATAATGTACTCAAAATTAGCCTCATCGAATCCGGAATGAAAAACAATTACATATAAATAACCTACTACTACTACTAACACTACTTTAGCACACTACTTCTGGATTATGAATGTAGAAAAGAAGCATTTTACAAACTGAAATTATTTATTTGTTTATGCCCCATTTATTTAAATGACAAATATTTTGGAATCAACAAAACATTTAATCGAACTAAAACGCTTTGTTATTTCAACAATGTTTGTTTTTGTTGTATGATTTAATAAAAATTATCTATTGGAAACCCTGTCAGAAACAACAAAATATTTGTTGGATCTAAACAGATTTTTTTTTCGGTGTAATACCGTAAATAATTACCTTTTCATTTTTCTCCGTGTAGAAATTATCGATCTACTACTACGCACAGCAACGTCCAACATTCAAAGCAGCCCTGCCGTCAGCAACCATTATGTTTTTTCATCCTCACTGATCAGTTCGTTTCAAGTGGAGGAAAACGGTGTGCGGTTTTTTTGCGTTTATATTCGGTCATTTGATGACTTATTGTATTAAAAGCGTGTACATTACAAGTGTGAAATGCCGGCAACTGCGGAGGAGAAACGGCGGAGCCGGGAAGCCATTCGGCGCTTTCTTAATAAAAAACAGGTATTATATCCTCACTGGCGCTCCACCACCATTTTGTGATTGTCGAACAAACAGTGACTCAGTAGAGTAGTTTGGGTGATACGGACCCCTGAGGTGAAATGGACGGTACTTAATTCACCGTCCTTGTTTAATGAGTTGTACTAATAGAACTGTTTCTTCCTTACTACCAATAGCAGCAACATCAGGCTACTGGTTCAGCAAACTCAAACGGAGGAGAACGGCCGGTGATCCCGGGGCGGCGTCCGAGCACTAGAAGCCACCCGGAAGATAGCCAACAGCAGACCACTGGTTTGCGAGGAAGAAGCCCATTTGCGCTGGGATGCCCTCTAAGGCTCTGAACCATTTGGCGAATTATTTTAACTTTTGGTTAAAATTTGACAGATGGAAAGTTATCGATTAACCCTGCTATCCGAGCGTGGTTATTTCTGACAGACAAGAAGTTAAATTTTGACGACCGTGGCTCGAAAACCGGTCGATCGACAGCACGGGGATTTTCGAACATAAGAAATAACTTTCGAAATGTCACTTTTAACTACGAGTTAAATTTAACTCGGCAAATGGTTCACAGCCTAAGTGAACCGACTCTAGCGCCTGGTACGTCGATTATTCCAGGGCGACGCCCGAGCACAAGAGGCCACCCGAAAGATACCCAACAGCAGGCCACCGGTTTGCGCGGAAGAAGCCCATCACGTACCCGAGCTCAACTAGAAAGTGAACCAACTCTAGCACCTAGTGGGCTGATCATTCCAGGGCGACGCCCGAGCACTAGAAGCCTCCCGGAAGACAGCCAAAAGCAGGCCTCCAGTTCGCGAGGAAGAAACGCATCTGTCCACGTATGCCCACTAAGTACCCGAGCTCAACTGGAAGGTGTACCGACTCAAGCGCCAAGAAGGCCGGTCATTCCAGGGCGACGTCCTAGCACTAGAGGCCACCCAGAAGATAGCCAACAGCAGGCCACGTGCTTGTTGGGAAGAAGCTCATTTCTTCTCAAAAGCCCTCCAAGTACGCAAACTCAACAGAAAGGCGTACCGACTGTACACAGCAAAAAAAGTTGTTGAATATTACATCGAAACTGCTGCAACCAGGTCAATCCATCGGTTGTGTAATATCACATTGTACGATGTACATCGATTTTGCGAACAAAATTACATCCATTGATGTAATATTGTATCTGCTTTTTGCTATTACATCATTATTTCATACATCAGCTTGAATTACGTTGATCGATATTACATTTTTTTTGCTGTGTAGCACCTGGAAGGCCGGTTATTCCACGTCGTCGTCGGAACACACGAGGTCGACCTAGGCGGAAAATTCTAGCTCATCGAGTAGATAATGAACGTAGTGAGGGGCAGGTAAGTGTACAATTAGATCATATCATTCACATTCGCATTTTGATTGCAACAGATTTCTCTTACACATACAAATTTTTCTAAACTATAGGACCGTAAAGTGATCTTCACTATACTACTACTGCTGCTCATTAATATTAGCAACACCCGCAACCACATTCCAGTCGAGAGTCTACGTCAGCAGAAGCAGCACGAATCAGGAAGCCGGAAAGCACACACACAGAAGATTTTACGGCAACAGAAGGATCAGGGAAATCTGACAAAACCTGTGCGTCCACTAGCACCAATCATAGACGTACACAAGTAATTATTGTCGTAATAAGGTTTTGCAGTTCAATAGCACTGCATACGTGGACTTAGCCAATTTTTTCTTGGGTAGATTTTCTCGATAATTTTTAAGATTGCAGTGAGATGTAAACCACACTTCTGCAATGTCTGCGAGCAACATCCTTTCACCACGCATTTCCTGAACAATTTACAAATTTAAATTAGGAAATCATAACATTTTTTTTTTGCTTGTAAATAGTACCACTAAACTGTCAAAAAGTTCATACGATGAACACTGAGATTATTTGTGACGTCACACTGCAGTACCTAATTACGTTTTCCATCAGGCCTACTCTACGAGTCGACTCAAACGGAGAGTCACCTCGCAAGTGACAGAGCCATCGATTCATAGAATAGGGCTGAACATTGGCACTTACTTACACACTTAGAAAATAATACCGAACTCGGTTTGATTTCAACCGAGTTTTTATCTGCTGAACGCTCGGTAGTCTGCTCGGTTCAAAGAGGAATAACCGAGCAGTCGTTAGTTCTTTTGTACCCACAATCTGTCAAAGTTACCGAAAATCTCGGTTGACGAAAAATAAATTTAAGCAGAAATTACCGAACATCGGTTCACTCAAGAACTACCGAGTGCTGTCAAACAAACCGACCCACCTGTTGTAATTACGGAATTCGGTTCTTTTGGGCAGCGCTCGGTTTTCACTTCAAATCCTGCTTTAAATTTGGATTAAGGATACGTTGCTTCGAATTTTCATAAAAATAAAACCAGTTTTGTCAAAGAAATGTATGAAGTGTGTTTATTTTATTTGTTTTGGGATGCAGAAATGTGATTTTATAATTGCAAATTATTAAAAAAAGAAGCTGTTCAAAAAGGAACCGTCGCTACCATGAGAAGGAGAGGCTCAATCGAGCGAAACTAAAAATTTCTCACATGTAGTGCTCATACTACCTACACGATAGACTGCGCCGGCAAGAAAGGAATGGAACTGCTTGTCCTGTTGCGGTGGTTCCAAACCGAATGCAGTAAACTAACCGAACCAAACCTCAAATGCAGACGCAACGTCAAGTTGGACATTGACCAACATTCATCCCAAACAGACGGCAAAGTCTGCTGAATCCTCCATGAACGCTCCTCGGCAAATCAATACCGGGCCATTCTTATCAGTGGGAAAATCATCTTCTGGCTGAAAATAAAAATTAAAGGTACTTGTATAATACGATAACCTATCCAATAGGCAATCTAATAATCTTACACTTATCCACTCCATGACGCCAGCCAATGGATTTTTCTTGGTAGCATCATTGATTTTATTTCGCTTAACACCACGTGATGGGCATTTAGCACGGATTATTGCCAGCGCTCTGATGAATTCTATGGGGAATTAATTATCTAAATGTGTGGACTCATTGAAGCTTTAAACGCAACTTACTGTTTTTCAACTCCACGAACATATCAGCGTACTGCTTAAGGATCTTATTCTGTAATTCTTCCCAGTGATCGGTGAACGACTTCGCTCCAGGCTTGATTTTTGTAAATTCCAGTTTGATCTACAGAAATAAATTATTAATATTCGATCTACCAAATCTCAAGTACAGTTTTTGTATAGGTCCTGACAAGGGTGTGAATATAGTAAAATAATCAGATTGTTTTTATCTATCAAAGAAATCACAGAGCCTATTGAAAAAGTACTCATGAGATTATTCAATATACACTTACAAGTTCTCCATTAAAGGCACCAATCACGGGAAAATCTTTCAAATATTCCACCAAAGTCCCCGCTGTACGTTTTTGTTGTCGACTTGCAAATGTTTTCTCCCATAGTTCAACAATTCTCACCTTAGATTGAACATTTGGAACAATGAACTTCAATTCAAGCACCTGAAATTTGTAAGAAAATATTAATCGTTTACCCATTTTGATATTTACCTTTAAATTTACAAGGTCCTCCATATTGTCATCTTCTTGTTCAAGAGTCGCATCAATTTCATTTGTATGGCTGAATTCACCAAGTTTTCGGCGTTTGATTATGCGTTCATCTGACTGCCTTGCCACATTCTCCATTCTGTAATATACACTGCCAGCATGACGGTTCAGCCCTCTTCCGTGGGGATGGAACCACAGCGACTAAAAACGAACGAGATTCAGTTTACAAGACAAACTTTCTACTATTTGGCAAACAGTGTTTCTGTCGAGGTTTGTGCTACTGCCGTAGTTGACATTTTTTATGAAACGTAGTGTAAAGCCAATGAGCTGGATTACCGAGGTGAAGCAATCACACACACAACTGAGTGACAACACTGTATAGAAGAAGCATCAAAGGAAAAGGAAGGGACAAACAATAATTCTAGATTGATTTTAGAATGGGTCCTATCTCCATTTTTCGATCAAAGAATCGATTAACTTTATTCGGTTTCTACCGCAACCTGAGCGATGGATTTGAAATATTTACACATGCAATCAAATCTCAAACCTTGAACTGTTGATTGCATGGATCAGTATTGCAAATCCATCGCTCAGATCGCGGTAGAAAGCGAATAAAGTTAATCGATTATTTAATTGACAAATGAAAATGGGACCTATTCTAAAATCAATCGAGAATTGTTGTAATTTAATTATTGATCGATATTAATCTCGTGTAACATTTGAAAAGCGCCTATCATTGTTGATCAAGCTATCATTCAAATTAGAGCGCCTTTATTAGTAGAGTAACATGTCAAAATTGGAACAACCGATTAGGTGTCATTTCCATACAAATCGCCGTTTCAATCCAGCAGAAGGCTTGTCAAATGACTGAGATGACGTCGCTCTACTAATTCAGGCACTCTAATTCAAATAATACGCGATACAATCCACAAAATTCGTGAGAGAAAAACGATGAAGAGAATCGATCAACCGATTCCCTTTTCAAATGTTGCGCGAGAAATTCGACCAATTTTTTGTCCATTTCAATTCCTTTGCCTTTGACGCTTCGCATTGCTTGCTTTACACTAAGTTTCGTAAACAATGTCAACTACGGCTGTCTAATATGGACCAACAGGTCTGTGCCATAAAAAGGGAGAACTACGGCTGCAGCACAAACAATGTTTTCCAAATACATAGTAGAAAGTTTCAATATATTGCTTATTAATTATTGGTGATAATTAACGCTATTAGTTAAAACTGTTGACTTACTTGTGGAATCTCGGCATTCTTCGAACTCAGTGCAGGATATGTTTCAACCAGTGACAAGGCGATCTGATTTTTGTAGAAGTTGCTGGCGTGCCTGGAAACAAACAAACAAATCAATAATTAGCTATGCTTGTATTAATCAGAAACATCGTCAGCTAGGTTTTCGTTTAAACTAATAAATTACAAAATAACGTTCAATAGATTTCTAGGAACAAAGTGATTACTTACGTTCCATACAATGATTTCAAGCAATCGCAAAGAAGTGCTGTGATTTGTCTTCGAATCGTTTCCTTGGGTCGTCCACCTTCTTTCAGTAGTTCCATGATGCATATTCCGTTGTCGGTTCGATCAAATACCCGATCAATATTGATTTTCTAGAATATATAGAAACAAATATACGTTGATTGAATGACCCACATATAATATTGATACGTTTCAAACCTGCTCCAAGATGATCCCTTCATACGGATTGTTTGCATTGATCACCCTTCTGGACACATCAGCTTGTTCATGATAATCAGCGTCAACCATAGTGTCCTCAAGCCATTCTTCCGTGCTCTTAGTTTCATCGTAATTTCTGTACTGTGTTTGTATCTTCTGTATAGTTTTGATCATTTTTGTAGTGAGTCCGAGTCTGGTAAAGTCATGTTCGTTCAGTGATAGAAACATTTGTAAGTTGTCGATCTCTTCCTTAGCTGAAAAAGAATTACTGCCATTAAATATTCTAAAGTTCCAACAGAGTTATTTGTTAACTACTTGTACTAATAATCTTGATTGTACACTCGCCGTGAAATGTACTTCTTCGGACTGTCGTATGGTGACCAGAATGAAAATATTGAATGCGTATGGCATTCTTCAATAGACATAAAATCATCTTTGGCTAGGATTTCTATCTCGTACGCTTCTAGAAAATCATTATACGTCGCAGTTTTACAGGATCGAATTAGGAAGAAAACTTTTCCATCGATGACATTGATTTCTCGTATAATCCCGTATGTCGGATAGAACTCGTTGTCATGAATTTTTAATCCAAGTATCGCGTTCATTCTGAACTCAACCCCATTAAGCGTGACGGTTTTTGGTTTGCAGATAAACTGCAGATGTGGATACAGAAATTGTTCACTGAGGCAGTCATCACGTAAGGCTAGGGTTCCAGAGTTGAATGTCAGCTTGTCGCGGAATGGCTTATCAAGCACGTTCATTATCATTCTCTGACATTGCCGCTTGCCCAAGCTGGAACAAATATTCTTAAAGTTTTTGCACGTATTCGCTTGATTCTTGCTTATTTTGTTCGTTTGTTCAAATTGAAAGCAATTGTATTGTTTCATTGAACCACTCTTCCTTATGCAGAGAGCGTAGTGACGCAAGTGATGCAACTTGTTGATACGCTGCTTAAAGTTTTCGAAAAAACTATCCTCAAAGTATGTTATATGTTCTTCCAGCTGTGCAAGTAGGTGTTCAGATACGACTGGTGACGAAATTATCCTCACGATATTAATTAGATGACCGATCATACGCGTGAGCATACTTTGCATAAGCATAAGGATTCTTGGAGACAACATGACCATAAAGGAACGGGAAAGCTCATATCAAGAGAAGAGACTGTGCAGATGTTTGTTTGATTTTATGCTGGGCAGGGTTAGCGAGCATTTCGTCTTTAAAATTTGGTGAAGGTTTGTTGCAGCGGTCAGCGTAACCAAAAGGAAATGTGTTAATGCGATTGTTTATGAACTTTGCTGTTATCTTTAAATGTTTTTGTTTGTATAAAGTTGATAGCACTAGTTGGATCGTCAGGGGCACTATCCCTTCAGCAAGGTCGTGCATGCTGTCGAGGCAGAAGTTGTTACTGGTATGGTAGAACTCTAATTCATTGAAAATACATCCTGATGTACTCAGTCCACAATCTTTCGGTATCAGCAAACCATCCTGTACTGCAGCAAGTTGATCTTCATACCATTCTTTCGATCGCAACGGATATTCTTCGGATGGATTTGAATGAAATTGATTCCTTGTAATCTGGCAAATTCGGCAAAAATAGTTGGCCCTTGGTCCAAGTAACCCAAACACGTCATGAACCGCAAGTGTATCGCCGCAGAAAATCGTCATAACAGCTCTTAAGACGAATTTCTCTGAACCGTAATAAACCGTTACGCCTTGTTCCAACTTTTTTAGGTCAGCGACGAAAGGCTCCAGAATTTTTGTGAATCCATGCTTTTTTATGTCTACTGAAGTACAGAATAGAAGCGGAAAAGCTGTACGTGGTGAAGAATTCCACTTCTCAGGAATATTCTGTATTTTGAAACATAAGTTAGAAACTTTATTTATCCCGGCTTTTGAACCGAATGCGTTGCCAAGTTCCACATCGTCTTGGTAAACACTGATCCTGATGGCATTAGGATACAGTTGAAAGAATTCGCTATTTTTGAAAATTTCACCTGTCCTGAATGAGCTGTATTCGGTTACACAAGGCGTGCTGGAAGTTTCTAGATTCGGTTCATTCAAAAGTTTCCGATTTTCTGGGCTTCTGAATATGAATTTCAATGAATCAATAATGCTGGTGTACGAAGCGGTCTCGTTTACCATAACTTTTTTAGGAAGTGATTCGATGTGGCGTACATCTTGTCTCCGATTAAGCAAAATATCCCTCGGCTTGGGTGTAGAAACGGCAAGCTTATTCAAGTACTGTGTCTGCTTTTTGAAGGATCTGACCTGGTCAAAAAGATTGCATAGTCTAAATGTATTTAGAAACGCTACGGAATCCTTCGTGTCAACATCAAATCCTTGTGCACTCAAAAATTTCACAGTTTCTGCCTCAAGGTACCCTGATACGTGCCGAACTATTTCGTCACAAAGCTTTATAAAATCATTGATTTTTGTGTAAGGTAAACCTACATCATATGTAATGCGGCAGATGCTAATATTTATTATTTTTATTAACTCTTCCAAATCTATACTTGATTCGAGTTTAGGACCGTTCTGTTGATTCTGGAACAATAAATCATCATATGTTCCTTGTCCTGCCACAGGACAATCATCAAAAATTTCTTCCACGGTAGAACGTCGAGAGTTTGCCGGATGCTTTTCCACTATATGCCGTTTCAGCGAATAAAAACTCCCGTAACGCGAGTTACAGCGTGGAAAAGCACAGTCAAAAAAAATATCACTGGCTTTGAAGTCATTTTTATGCAAATGGTTTTTAAAATGCCTTTGCAAGCCAGTGACATAACCCTGTATATTTTCACGGCAGTAAAAACAAACGATAGCACAAGATTCCTGCAAATAAAATCATAGCATTAGTTTCAAATACTTACAAAAGATGTCAATCAAACGTGCATCCTCCTGTTGCAGCTGCTCCAGAACCTTTTCCATTTTTGCACACGTCCGACACACGTCCACACTCGAGAAAAAATGGCTGAATAGTTTTAGACTCAGCTTATAGAACCTCGTAGAGAACCGAGTTTTCGGTTAAATTTTCCGTCGCGAAGTTGAGCGCAAGTGGAACGTTTGACGTTTAACACGTTTTAGCGAATATTCGGTTCAGTTTACCGAGTTTCTCGGTTTTCACGTACCGAATTCGTAAATGTTGATACTTTACCGTACTTTTCGGTTCAGCCTTCGTTTTTATCTGTCAAATTTATACTATTTTTCCGAAATTCGGGTCTGATTTTATAAATCCGCCTAAAAAAATGTTTTTAAACGATTTATTCGGTTTCTCGTTGATAACCGATGAGGTTCGGTAGAAAATTAAACCGAGTTCGGTATTATTTTCTAAGTGTGTATACATTGTAATATAGGACACTTGATGTGCACATACGATTGAATTTGAACCGTTCATTAATTACATCAATTTGATGTAACCCAGGGGTCAGTTGATAGTTATTTGATGACATTGATGAAGATAATTTTATACAAAGAGTTACGTCTGTTTGCCTGTGATACAACATTAAATTTGATTTTCTCGCTGCAGTGCAAACAGTCCCCATTGCGATTACAATAATGTCCAAAACTTATGCTGTTGAAACCATTATGTGACAGTACAAATCTGCTCTCTATTAGGGTATTTGGGATTCCTCTATTCTAACTATATAGAAATGTTACCCTTCTTGTTTCAATATTATCATGCTTACTTTTACACTTCTATCGTTTTATTCAGTTACCATTAATACCAGAAAATGAAGAACCAGAACAAACAGATCACTTCTCGGTGGTGAAAGTGGAGCTGACCGTAGTTGATGTTCCAGGTGAAGAGGTAAGATACTTGTTTGCACTGGACACTTTCTGCGCGATTTTACTTTTATGTCGTTTTTTATGCGTTTTGCTCCCAAAAAATGCTTTTTACGCAGTAATCATAAATAGTACAAGTTACCTATGTAAATCAGAATCTTGCATTTGAAAATATTTTACCGGTTAAAAGTACTCTATTGTACGCGGCGTATATGTTGTGCGTTAAACCCGTTATTAAATAAATACCATAAACGAATGGTAACTCAAAATGTAGAAATATTCTATAAATAGTTTGGATTATACCCCATTCAGCAAATATACAATTAGGATTTTAGTAGGGAAGAGACTTCAGTGTATTTAATTTCCATTATTTATATTTTAATTTCAAAGTAAATTCGCTCTTTCGAGTGCATATGTGCATACATAACATGATAACATATGTGTATATGTTCACATATGTGTATTGCATTTTACTTTTCTATAATTTATATCTGTAGGGTAAATAATCAAAAATGAAACAAAATCAAACATTTTTCAAGTTTCATAAATTGGATTCAACAGTTTTGATTACACATTTTGAATTCTGACCTTGTAACTGACTAGTTTGTCAACCAGCAATGCCAGTCGTATAGAGCAAGAGAGAAATAATCACAATTGAATCATTTAGCTGGGAACAAGCATAAGTCCATTTGATTCTGGCAATCTATAAAAGATGGAATTCTTCGAAAAGTTTTGCACTATTTGTGAGGATGAGGTTAGTCAATACTTGTGAAAACTTCATATCTGAGCACTTCATTGAATAAAAATGTTTAACCAGGTACAATCTGCATTGCTATAAAAAGCGTGGACTTATGCTATTTAACAAATAAACGGATAATGCCCTACTTGCTTTGTTTATTTTAAATACGGTTTTGTTGACTCAATGCATTATAAACACAACGCAATATGGTCATTTTGACTCAATGCACTAATTTCATTCAAACGGCATACATGTATAAATGAATCTTTTGGAATCTTACATGACAGTAGACGGTATTGTAATGCTATAGCTGAAGCCGTAAAATATAATGATATCCTTCGGTTGATCGATGACTTATACACGTTTTTATTTTCAAAGGTTGACAGTACGTTAAACATACGCGCCACTGGTGAACCCAATTCAACTGTTAAGCATGTTAAGAACAGAGAACCTTGGTCGATAATTCACTCACTGCCATTAGAGGAGGCAGATAAATTCATTGCCAATCATGAATTTGGTTTCCGGCTCAAGACGGAAAACACGCCATCGAAAGGCAGGATGCGTTATTACAATTGTTCCAGAATAAAGGTTAGGGCAAAGCCCCAATGCGCCAAACAATTGTTGGCGTTCATATCCAACACTTCGGATGATGTTTCAGTCAGTGCCAGAGGTAAACACACCTGCCAGGATGCACCGGTGCAGAATATGGCACGATCTCGGATGACAGTTCAACACAAGGAACTTATAGACCAACTACTCGGATCAGGATTGCCTTCCCACGATGTCAAGACGCATCTTAAAGCTTCCGACGGAAGCATCACCAAAGGTGCCTTGAACTACGCCGTGAAAGCATCCAAGGAAAAACTATTCGGTAGCGGTAAATTGTCTCTGGGTAAGTGGAATGCATAAAGCTCATTTTATAAAGTGTAACAAAAAGCCTAGATTATTTTACACCTAAAATAACTTAATTATCCCTACAATTACAGTATTTGCCGCAAATATAACTGAAGCAAAGCTAACATACCTGATTAGCTCCATAAGGAAAAACATGTAGAGTAATTTATTCTGGTTTGATAAGGTTAGACCTATAGTCGCTTTATGAGTATATCGACTTTAGTTAGAATTATCCAAAAATGCTCATGGTTAGACCAAGGGTTGGCGGGGAAAGTGTTACACTCTAACGATTGCTGATGCTCTATATACAAAAATGGTAGACGTCAACATCAAATCATGTTGATTATGTTAATTATAAATGTTAGGTAATGCAGAAAAGTGGATATTTCAGTACTCCCCCTTGTCATACACTCGAGCACCGATTTCCTAGAATTGTGTAATTCATCATTCAAAGTGGAAGTGAATGTATAATCTATTTGGTGGCCATTTGTAGACTCTATAAGGAATCACCTGAACGAGATATAGACTGGTTTTATGTTTCAACATACACTACAAAATCAATTTTTACTGGAATAAACTATCTTAACCATTC